CTTCCTCAGTTTAGCCGTGAGGATGCCGTAAATTTGAAAACTAATTGTATCATTTGAAATGTCTCTTCAGAGCAGACCAGCATTGTAAATACAAAGATTTTTTTAATTTGCACATATTGTAGCAGATTTGCTTCCAGCTGTGGATGGTTTTGTAGACCGTATGTATATGTCCACCATATGTGGGCCATTTGTGTATGGATTGGTAAACGTTGCTACCATCTTTACCTGAATATAAGATGATCCCTCACCTTCATCCAACGCCTCATTTTTTGTTTTTCCCAGAAAGAGAAGAGGCACAAAGAGACAGAGAGGTGCATTTTTTGTGTAATTTTATGTTCAAAGCCAGGGTTGCAGAGCTGTGTAGAGCTGTCCCTGTAGTGCAGCTCCCCAGATGAAATTAAACTCCATGTTCCAGCCAGGTACTGCAAGGTCTGGTCCTTTTTCTGCTGAATTCTTGGAGGCATTGCAGAAATCCCTGCCTCGCACTCGGACAAGCTCCTGCCTGCAAAAACTGCCAATATCTTAACTGTCTGTGTGGAGCAGTTGCTGCTCACACACATTTTATCTGTTTTTTTCCACAAATATGTACAAAATACTGCAATTTTTCGAGTAGTTTTGGGGCAGTAAATTGAATACCGGTATATATTCCAATAAGGGAACACATTTTTCTTAGGAGCCGAAACTTTGAATTTTGCCTGTCCATTCCTTGTGGAGTGGCCATGCTTGTAATCCATGATCACCATCCATCTGGTTTTGCTGTGTTATGTTTAAAGTGCACATTGTTGTTGAAATCCCCGTTTGTTTGGGTGTTTATCAGGAAAGTGATATGCCGATCCAGGAGCTGCTCAGCCGTTACGGCTATGATGGGACCATCCCACTCCAAGAAGATGATGACGATGAAGATGATGAAGAGGAAGAGGAGGAGGGAGAAGACGATGACGATGTTGATAATGATGACAACAGTGGCTGTAGTGGGGAGAACAAAGTAAGTGTTTGCATTATTTGAAATTTATTTTAATACAGCCGTTCTGTACCAGAAAACTGCTCAAGATGCCAGATGATGGCAGAAGTAACTCGTAATATAGTTGATTTTGTATGCTTTGTGTACTGAGCTCTGATGTTTATTCTTAACTACCCATCTGTATTTCTCTTCATTTCATCCCTATCATTCTGGACTGTTGCTGAGGCAAATTAGGGTACGTGTATGTGTATAGCATCATGCAAGAAGGGATTGTAATTATCCTTCAGAAATAGCCTAGCTTCAAAACTGAAGTATTAAATGCCTGAAGGCACCTTTATAGATATGGCTGAATACTTGTTTCAAGATGAAAAGCTGATCTCCTGAAACTGAACAGTGAAGTGTGGAATTGAATTAAATGTGTCTCTGAGTACTGGAGATTGGTGCAAGTTTTCAGGCTTCAGCATTTGAAATTGTATTTTTTCAGCTCGACAGCCCTGGCTGTACGTAAATTGTTAACTGAATCTAATGTTTCAGATATCTTTGCAAAATGTACAGTTTTGAACTTAGCATCTTTAAAATCCCATTCTGGGTGCTCTTAAAATAAATTTTCAGATTTTTAGAAGTCTTTTCTGCTTGTGCATGTCGTACATATTTGCAGCAATCCTGGCCTGTCATGGGCACAGCTGCACCTTCTCTGTTCACAGTTGCATCCTGAATGCCATTAAAATATGAAACCCTTTGTACTGTCAGGAACAAAAAAGCTTAGGCATTAATGGCAGTTGCATTACCTCATCTGCCTTTAAACAGGGTGTGTTTTGTTCTTTGATACCTTACCCATTTTAGAATCTCTGGTATGCAACACGGAGATGAAGAATGATACATCTTATTCAGAAAATGAAGTTCTTAGGATTTACAAACTCCCTTGGCAGATGCTGTATAAGGTTGCTATTTGTGTGGGTTGAATAGTTCAAAAAGAAGAAAGATGCATCCAAAAAGGTTCAAGAAGCTGGAAAGGGGGATAAACTTGCATAACATGAAGTATGCAAAATTAAAACAAGGCAAAAAAGTGGTTTATTTTGTCGTGCATGGTGGTGTTCCCAAAGTCTCACTTTCTTCTTGTGTCTGTCCTTGATTGCTTCCTGACACAACATCCATCTCATAACCTGCTCTGTCACTCTCCAATTCTGCTACCAGCTGATTTGAGTTAATTCCTATCTTTTCTCTTAAATGGGTAAAATCTGAGGGTCCATCACCGCTGTTAGCAGCAGGAGGAGTCATCTCTGTCCCTCCGCAGGGTCCCGACCCTTTGCAGCATCCTGAGCAGCGAGCGTATCCCTGCCTGTCCGCAGCGAGGGCTCGCAGCCTGGCACCATAAACACAGCCTGTGGTTTAGCCTGATTGCACTGTGGCTGAATTAAATGTGCGTTTTCACCTCTTCTACCCCAATTTTGATAGGACTGAAACAAGTTATGGGGAGGAGTGGGCTCTAAGCTCAATTCCTAACCCAGGATGCTGGCGTGCCTTAGGGTACACGAACCAGAGCTGGGAAATGCTTGCATGCTCTTAATAAATAGTAAAATACATCTGCAGGGGTGGATTGTATAAATCATTCAAGCTTTCTCTGCAAGTGCTCATCTTTCTACGGCTTATTTAGCTCTGCTGCACTTAGCTGTTTTCTATTTTTAATCTGCTTTAAGCTGCACACGTGATAGCGCTCGGGTTGCTGGTAAAGGTACACGGAGATGTGCTGGGCCAAATGCTGCTGTGTTAGAAGCAGTAATATGAGTGCTTAACGCACGTGCACAGAAAACACATTAAAAATGTTGACGACAAGCACTGAAATAGAAAACACTATTATATATTTTTAACCCTTATCCTTTTAATTTTCCTTTATTCTGATAATTTCCATAGTTGCTGTGGTTTATCTTCTAATAAACTTGATCTAATTTTTAATGACTCAATGTACATACTCGAGTCTACTGCTATGCTATTCCTGTGGGGTTGAACCACACTAATGACGTTAATTTTTATGGGAGGTACTATTTCCATTTGATTGAGAAAAGTATAGCCAGTAGATAATTCCTCATATTTTTACTGAAAATTCATAAGGAAGGGTTTTAAAGACCGAAGTAAAATTTAAAGTTAAGTGAAATTAAATGAAAACTGCAGTGATTTGCTTGACTGATTAAAAAAACCGGGCGTGATACTGAATGTGGTTTGTCTTTCTGATTTGTATGTTAGGGTCTGAGTGCTAAATTGATCTGCTTAAAATCCGGGTCAGTAAATGATGTGTTTACACATTATATGTGTAAAGAATATGATGTTATATATATTAATTTTAATGCATTATATATTATTATTATATTTCATACATATATAAAAATTATAATATATGATATGAGAATATGGTGTGTTTACACATTCGCTGTGGCTCAGTCTGGACAAGCCACAATCTATGCAGTCACTTCAAGTCAGGTAAAAGATACTTGGTTTTGATATATTGACAGTTTTGAAAAAAAATCACCAAAATAGTGTTTGTCACATACAAGAGATACGTGATCTCATGATTGCTTTTTTATATTTAAGGAGGAGACCATAAAAGATTCGTCAGGTCAGGAAGATGAGACACAGTCATCTAATGACGACCCAGCACCATCTGGTGCTTCTCAAGATCCACAGGAGATAATTCGCCCTCGCCGATGTAAATATTTTGATACAAGTATGTACAGTTTAGTACTTACCACAATAATCTCAGTGTGATTGAGGTTAAAAAGCTCCAGTTAATGTAGTATTCACTGTTGGTGAAATGTGCATGTTGATACCTATAAACATTTGTTTCTTCTCTTTCACAACACTGCTCTTGATTATCCTTATGCTCAAAATAATAGGCAACAAAAAAGTCCTATTTTTAGCTGGATGCTAAATCTTCTCTGCAGATCAGGGACTCTGTATAAGGCCAGTAGATATTGTCTCTCCTTCAAGGATTACATATGGGGAAAAATTGAAATTTCTGCAGTTTTGAGAAAACAGGCGCTCAGACAGTGCAGACCCTTTCACGACACCACTCCGAGTGTCGTATCAGTCCAGTTCATGACCCTGCAAACTGGTTTGTATGGATGTGCCCTTCCAAAAAGTGTTCTCGTCCGTGGAGCCTGGCTGTGGTAAACGGCTGTGTGTTACGGGATTACCTTGCTGTTGTAGTTTCGGCTGCCAGTTCACACTGAGGACACAGGTGAAAATGTTCAGAAGTAGGAAACGCGCTGTTCCAAGTAGTTAGTTGCTGCACGGGCTGTGATTATCGTGACACTGCTTCATGTGCTCCCTCAAAGAAGGTTAGAGTCCAGCTGGAGGAGAAAGTAAAAACTGAACTGTACTCAAAACAGACCCCTGAATTTCTTCAGGATTGCCACTACAGAAAACAAAAACAGTAAAATCTGAAAAAGGCCAATCGGTTGTTAAACCTGGAATGATGAAGGGAGAGATAGTGATGAAGAAAATTTGCTTCAAGAATTCCTCTTTTGATACTGTCGCCAGCATTGTGGACTGATTATTTTCTCTCTTGTTTTGTTTAAAAATTGAGTTTGCATCCATTTGAGACCGTTGAGCTTGTGTTACTTAGCTGTCCCCTTAGACAACTCTCATTTCTGTGGCAATCTTAATTAATGGGATCTGAACCTTTTAGATTGAGCTATCTGCAGGGCCATTTGGGCAGCAGAAATTCTACCTTTCTTTGATGGAAGTGACTGTCGCTGATGTGTGAATTCCTAAAGTGTTTTAACAAACACAAGTTAAAGCAAATGTTCCTTACAATACCTTACACTGATACTTATTAGCCATGACATTGTGAAATGCCATTTTCTAATCTGTAGTTTATTTTAATTTGAAAATGCTGAGGGGCCTCAGCGTGTAGCTGTGCAGAAGATTGCAAATATCTGCAAGTGTATTGCATTATGTTTTGGGGTTTTTTTACGCTGTTGAGCTGTGTATAGAATGTAATTTATGTACAAATAATTTTAGCGCTGCTGTTATCACTTGCTATACATAAACCAGATACTGCAGTTGCTTGCAGTACATTGCAAAAGGCAACTAGCCTGTATCATAAAGAGCTTTAAATTTTTGTCAGCCCTTATCCAATATAATCTATTTTAAATGCTGCTGTGCATCTCTGAGCAGTACATCCAAGCCTACTAAATCCCAGTAAGACTGAGAAAAGCAGGCTTGCAGATAGCTTGCGCCTTGTGCTGCAGTCAGTCTTAAATTCAGTGCCAGCTGCTGTGAGGGAAAAGGAACAGCAGGAACTAAGCTCGGAGCTCATGAAAATGGTGTCAAAACTCACATGTGGGTGCTGAACATCCACATAAAAATGCTGTCGGGAAGTAACGGTTTGTAGTAAAATTGGCTGTGGATGTTCTCAACTGCTTCAAAGCTGAGGGAGGAAAGCAAATTTTCATTAGGTGGTAGTAAAATTAATGGAGGGATTTGTGCCTTAAGTTTGCAGAGCCTGTTGTGTATCTTAAGCCATTCCAAAGGTGGACATTTGGGTGTCATTTTTTAAAGCTGTCAATACTGAAACATTGCCACTGGAATTATTGTCACTAAAAATGCCATTACACAGCTCATTTTGTGTAAATGTTTGAATGATTTCTTGTAGATAGTGAAATAGAAGAGGAATCTGAAGAAGATGAAGATTATATTCCCTCAGAAGACTGGAAAAAGGTAAATATTTTTTTAAAAGCCTGTATTTCGTGGATAATGAGTTGATCTGTTACCTAGTAACTCTGAGCTCTGTAGATCACCCAAATCCTTTCCAGTTTTTCCTCATAAATACACAAATTTTGATAGTAAGATGTGTTTAAGACCTCCCCACATAGTAAAAAATCCATTTCCATATAGTGCCTGTTAACAGTATTTTTAGATTTTGAACAATGAGGGTTTTAAGGGGTAAAGAAGATGTGATCATTCTCCTGTTTGCTAACACACAGCATCACGGCTGAGGTTGCTTCACTTCTTGTTTCTGTTATTTCAAAACAGGAAATCATGGTGGGCTCTATGTTTCAAGCTGAAATTCCAGCTGGCACATGCAAATACAGAGAGAATGAAAAAGGTGAGACTTTGCACTGTTACCATTATTGCTGTGTTTGAGATTATTTCCTAATGGGGAGAAATGAAAGATTTACTGTCATGTGCCTCACAAGGTAAAAGAGCTCATTCAAGTGAAAAATTCAGCCATCATCTCAAACTATATTTTGTCCTGTGCTTCACCATCAGGGCTTGAGTCTTGGAAGGGGAAAAGAAAGATCATATTGCTGGCCTATTGCCTCTTGAACCCTTGTATTCTAACTTGGTCACGTACACAAGTTTACGTTCACCTCTTCACCTAGTGGATTTACTTCATCTAAAACAAAGTAGATCACACTGAAGCCAACACATTCTGTCAGCTCTGGACTTGGTAGCCAGAGAATTTAAAGCCAGAGTAATTTAAAACTACATCAGAAGTCAGGAGCTTCCATTAAAACCAGAAAGTGGCAAATTAGAAAACATCTGTTTTTTAGCTGTGAAGAAGTTGCTCTTTGCACGCTCTCCTGCTTCTGTCTGAAAATAGAGCTTGAACTGTGCGTTTGCCTGAGATGCAGTCAATTACGCTTTACTGGGCGCCTGCTTTTCCCCGTATTTACTCAGCTCTAAATGGCTTCTGGCCTCCAATAATAACAAAGGTACAGCTGCTTTGTGCATTGCAGCAACCTGTATAAAACAGATTTTCATGGTCTTGCGCAGTGCTCTTTGCGGAGCAGAGAACCTACGTCATGGGCAGAAACCACTGAGGGGAAAAGTTAAATTTTCACTGATTGTGCTAGGGCTGGTTTTATGTACCAGCGGAGGTTCATATCTTCTGCCACTTTTCTGCTGCGTTTTGGATGTAATCTTTGACCAGACTCCAACTGGAATATTAATGAAGCATAAATAAATGTCTGGGACTATGTATTTAGTACTTTCATGTGCATGTCCCATCATCTGAGTTATTCTCTAATGAAGGGGAAATTCTAATAGTAAAATTCTCAGGCAGTAAGAAGGCCTGTCCTGTCATATCCAGTCCTGTCAGCAAAAGCACAAAAATGCTCGGACTCTGCTGAATAACCTGGTTGTTTTTCAGAATATGTTCTGACACGCTGTGGTGAGGAAGAAATGACTGTTTAATCTACACTGAGCTAATTACACTGGACTGGCTCTCAGAGTATGCCTGGAGACCAAATTAGCTGCTACTAAAACATTTCAGGTTATGAAAAAGCTGCAAAATTAAACCAAATGTTTTCAGAAGGCTTGGATTTGAAAAATAGATGGTGCTGAAAATGAAAATGTGCTTTGAGGTTTAGTGACTGCTGTTGTTCACAGCATTGCCGTGCACTTCGCTTGCGTCATTAAGGGTGGCTAAACCAGATTATCGGTTCTCCACTGAGAAGAGTTGTTGCTTCTGCTGGAGTTTGCATCCCAAGATAATTAAAGTCTTTTTCTTAAATGACCAACTAAACATCAGATTGGGATTAGCCTTTGAAACAAAAAGCGCACGGAAGATTGTTGGAAGCTGTTTCCAAAGACTGTCATTCATGAAACGGAGCTGCCATTCTTTGCAAGACAGTTTTCCTTACCAATTTTGGGTTTTTATTTATAGCCTACTTTCACGTTAAAAATTAACTATTTTCAAGCAGAGACGCATCTATCTGCCACTCAGACCTCCCTACCTGCACAGGATGGGCTGTATCTCCCCTTCCACGGGTGACGGTGCTTTCCCACACTTTCACTCCTTCCTCTTGCTGAAGGTGCTCAATGGAATCAATGTAAAAGTTAATTTCTTGCTGGTTTTTGTAAGGTTCTCTTTCCTTGGAGACTGGGCAAGGTCTGGATACTTTCCTGATTCTACTATTTTTAATAACCTGAATTTTACTTGATTTTGCTGTACCAGTATTTTAATCTTGCAAAACTTGTAGGCTCTTCAGAAATAAAAATGGGAGATAATTCAGAGGATATATCATCTGGCTGTGTTTCTCTCATTAATTTCAGTTTACAGTGACTCCCCTGGTCTGAAAGGTCATGCAAAAGCTCTGAAAAAACAGTAGAGATTCAGTAGTATTAAAATTCAGCGATTTTTACCTGAATGATTTTGTTTTAGAAAGTTTTTCTTGGAAGTAGTAGGAAAGTATTAGCGAAGTTTCCTTTTATAAGTGGGTTCTAGAATCTGGAGCATCGATCATGCCAGAGGTTTGAAGATAATATGAGGTACTGTATCAGTCATTTGGATCACATCTTTTACCTGTCCTTGTGTGCATTTTGGATTAATGTTGGTGCCCTGATGATCTTCCAAGCTCTTGCAATCATTAGCTTTATAAGAAGAGAGAATAAAATTCTGTATTATTTTAGCTTGTGTCTTTTTCGTGTGGTGTATTCAGTGTATGAAAACGATGACCAGCTGCTGTGGAATCCCGACCTCTTACCAGAGGATAAAGTCATCGAGTTCCTAAATGAAGCGTCGAGGCGTATGGGTGATGAGAAAGGCTTAGATGCAATTCCTGAAGGATCACATATTAAAGACAACGAGCAGGTTTGTAAGAATAATGAGGATTTGTAGTTTAATATTACAGGAGGAATTATCCCTCTATTTCATTTTACTCCCAAGAATTAAAATTGTGTTTGAAACAGCTTTCTTACTCCTTGTGGAAGTAGAAATATTGATGGGATTTTTACCTCTCCTCAAATACTAAACCATTAACTGAGGCTTAATGCTGCTTTATGCATCAGTGCATTATTTTATATATAAATAATGGTGAATGAATGGGTTCTGTTCTTTCAGTTACAGATTCTTTTAAAGCTGTATGAATGCATACTTATTTTTTTTCTTCATACAGAAAAACCTCTATCAATTTTACAAATGTATGCAATGGTTTAAAATGTTAAAATACTTTGCCTGGATATATTCTTGGTTATGTAATTAGAGATTTGGAAATTTAAACAGAGGAAATGTCTTTGTGCTGGCTTAAATTATATTACATTCATTCAAAGTATTTATTTTAAATCTTTTTAAATAGGTGTTAGTGATATACTAAGTATGCTTCTGTGGCACAACATGAAGTGAGTGGTATCTATAATGTTCAATGTGTGTCTTTTCACCTTTCCAGGCTTTGTATGAACTGGTTAAGTGCAATTTTGATACTGAAGAATCATTACGAAGGCTGAGATTTAATGTAAAAGCAGCCAGAGGTGAGCATACACTGCAAGTTAAGTTTGTATTGGTGAGCTCTCATTTTATTATTACCCAGGTATTGGGGTTTTGCTATCAGCAGACTCAGAAACTTTATTTCAGCTTGACTGCGTGTGAGCCGTACGTATCAGTGCCCATTTAAATGCAACCTTCAGTGAATCTCTTATTCTCTGAGAAAATGAAATCAGCAGATGTTGTATTAACAGATGCATGCCCGAAAGAGGTGTGTAAATTACTTCCTGGCAGTAGAGCTTGATATTTATATCTGTGACTTTAATAACAAGTTAAAATTTAAAGTTACTTCTTAGCAACTGAATTGTGCATTCCTTGGGCATTTTGTTCTGGGTTTTTCTGCACCTCAGACATCAAAATTAATGGAACAAACATGAAACACATAATGAAATAATTCACAATTCTAAATAGGGGAGAATGAGCATCCAAACCTTTTATTTAACAAAGTGTAACACTACAAAGACCCTGGTCTTAAAGCCACTTTTGGAGCCCTAAGCATTTCCTGGTTTTATATTGATCTTTGTACTCAAAGGAGCAAGAAAGTAAGAGAAGGCACAAGTTACTTTCCTCGTGCATCGATCTGCTGGTTCTGCTTTCAGACCTGTGGCTTCTCCAGAGTTTAGTGTGCGAATCACAGGACAAGAGGGTTCAAATCGAGAAGATTTGTTTGTTCTCCCACTATTTTAAACCTTATTTATTCATCACCTTAAGAATCAATAAGGCTGAATTATGTTAAGTACTTAGAAGCATGGCTTAAAATTATTAGGAGTTTATTCAGTTGCTAACAGTCCCTATGAAGTAGCTACTTAAGGTGGACGAATTTTCCACCTACTCACTAGAAGGGAGATTTTTATTTTTATATAAGTAAGTGAAATTTCTGGAGGTGGTGATTTAGTCAGCAGATGGTGGAAGAAACTTGAATAGTGCTTATGTTTTCTGTGACTTAAGTTTCCTTTCACTGCTCATGTGCTTTTTTTGTTAAGTATTTTCTTTATTCCATTCTCTTGCTGTAGAAGAATTATCTGTTTGGACAGAGGAAGAGTGCAGGAACTTTGAACAAGGGCTGAAAGTCTATGGCAAGGATTTTCATGTGATTCAAGCAAATAAGGTAAACACTGATTTTAAATTACACTTTTTAAAATAATGTAGTTGTAAATAAATTCTCATCCTCATTTTCCTTCACAAATGACTATATTCTAATTTTTACTACATATATGTCCAAATTGCTTTGGCCAAGTCCAGAATCCTCTATAAATGTGGCTGTGAACTCAGAGTGGAATTTTAATGGGAGCTGTGTGCCAAAAAGGTATTTAAATTCATCAACGTATTTCCTAGGTACGAACGAGATCAGTTGGTGAGTGTGTAGCATTTTATTACATGTGGAAGAAATCGGAGCGTTACGATTTCTTTGCGCAGCAGACCCGCTTTGGAAAAAAGAAATACAACCTTCATCCTGGCGTAACGTAAGATGTGCATTATTTTTATGCGTTTTTACATTTTGGATCTAAATCTTTATTTTATAGTGCTCTAATCTGAACTGAAATTGCAACCTAGGGATTGCGTAGTCCCAATTTGCAGCAGGAAAACGGCCAAGGTGTATATAATATAGTGCTTTTAATGTCATTTCTAAAATACATTTATTTGGAATAAAGCCAACACTTTTCAGTGAAACGCTATTTAATTGAGTTTGTTTTCTGTTTCAGTGTTTCACAGCTGTAACATTTCTGCAAATATGTGGAATTTTTGAAGTACTTGATGAAATACATCTTTGATACAAGGTGTTAGTCACAAGTTTTGGGTGGGATTTGTGGTGTATGCTGAAATATATTCTTGAAATTTATTTTTTGGCGAGAATTCTGGCCACACAGTACCCTATAGTAGGGCTTTTTTGGGTGTATTTAACTCCTTTCCCCATTCACGTCTGCCAAGGTCATCTTCTGCCCTTCATTCCAATGCTGTGATTTTAGTATCCACTCTTCCTGCTGAAAAAGCTGACGTTCTCCAAGTCTTTTTTACTATTATTTTTTTCTTCTCATTCATTCCTGGCTTATCTCTTGATCATTCTTTTAATATTATTGTTTCTTTAAAGAGTTTAGAACAGTGTGTTGGACCACTGAAGTGAATGTGCAGTAGCACAGTAGAAGTTGCTTTATTTCATAAAGTAAACTGTTACAGAGAGGCACCCAGAGCTGCTGGATTTTCTTAACCAGTTCTCAGGGACTGTCCATCTCCCCGTCTTCTTCCATCTGTTTGGGTTTTTTTCTCCGTTTGTGCCCAAATTAGTAGACATTTTGGGGTTTTGATCGCTTATTCTCTGATTTGTTTGCTGTTGCCTGGATGTGGTGGTCAGCAGTGTCCTTAGTGTACTTTTCATTTCTTGAAGGCTTTTGCAAACAGATGTGGGAATGTAGGGTGCAGTATCAGTCCCAGAATAATGACGTGTGAGGATGTGCCGTTTCGGGAGTTAATCCAGACTAATACCACACGTCGAAGGGCTTTACCCACCAGCTTTGTTTGTTTAAGGCTTTCACAAGAGATTTACTATTAGTGACCTATATTGTAGAACTGTGATAGATTTCAGATGCAGAAATGTCTTTAACTCTGAAGCTTTTAATTTGCTTTTTGACTTCACCCCTTTTGAGGTTATATATACATGAAACTTACTTGTTTTAATGGTATATTATTGCTGCCGCAGCAGATTGCAAGAGCTTAGTAGAAACCTGCATCGCCTTGAAAACACAGCCCACAGCATCGCAGCACATTGAAATTTCTGCGTGTGCACCATCTTACATAGCGTAAGACTTAGCATAAGCACAGCCTGAATTTGTATAATCTGGCTGCAGTCATTGGTCCACAAATATGTAGGTGCTGTGAAAAGCCCATACGTGGGCCAATAAGCACAGGAGATTTTAAAGTGGTTAACTTTGCAAAAAAATCTGTGCGTTGCAGAAGTTATACAGTGGGAATTGGTCACACTGGCAATATAAGCAGGGAATATTTTACTCCACATAACACCAATCCTTGGCATGGTGAGGGCAGTGCTGAAGGTGCTGTTTCTGTTGTGCAGGGATTACATGGACCGGCTCTTGGATGAAAGTGAAAGTGCTGCATCCAGCAGAGCCCCATCCCCTCCACCCACAGCCTCCAACAGCAGCACCAGCCAGTCCGAGCGGGACGACAGCACCACCAGCAGCAGCAACCAGAACGGTATGCGCCTGCCCTGGCACTCTTCAACAGAGCTCCCAAATCACAGCATCACAGCATGGTTTGGGTGGGAAGGGACCTCAAAGTCCCCCCAGTCCAATCCCCATGTGCAGGGACACCTCCACCAGCCCAGGCTGCTCCAAGCCCCATCCAGCCTTGCCTTGGGCACTGCCAGGGAGGGGGCACCCACAACTTCCCTGGGCAACCTGGGCCAGGGCCTCACCACCCTCACATTTAAGAATTTCTTCCCAATATCCAGTCTAAATCTCCCCTCTTCCAGTTTAAAACCATTCCCCCTCATTCTGTTGCTACCTGCCCTGGTAAAAAGTCCGTCTCCAGCTTTCCTGTAGGACCCTGTCAGGAACTGGAAGGCCGCAATAAGGTCCCCCTGGAGCCTTCTCTTCTCCAGGCTGAACAGCCCCAACTCTCTCAGCTGTCCGAATAGCAGAGCTGCTCCAGCCCCTCAGGATCTCTGTGGCCTCCTCTGGACCCGCTCCAGTACCTCCATGGCTTCTTGTGTTGGGGGCCCAGAACTGAACACAATGCTCTAGGTGAGGTCTCACCAGAGCACAGCAGAGGGGCAGAAATTGTCACTAATTATAAGAAAAATGAGACAAACAAGCCTGTTTTAGTCTTAAATATTTCCCAAGACATTAGCAGCTTTAAGTTGAAAACATTCTTAAAAAAACTTACATTTGCATTTAGCTAGTGGTCACATATTGAAGATAAATCTCCACTAGAATCTTCCTTTTGAACATAAGCAGTCTGTTATTGCCTTCCCCACGCTCGTGTAGGTGTGTAACTTTGTGAGGAGTCCCATGCAGGGTATTGAAAATAACAGAACTGGGCTATCATGCAGCACGCACAAACTCTGTCATGATAAGTCTGTCCTTTTTATGCAGATAAATCACTTTTTCATCACACAGTGAGGATACAGAGAAAAATACTGGGATTTTTGTTCAGTGGGACAAGTTAAGACTTCTGCTTTGTTGACTTGATGATGGATTTGTTCTTTTCCTTACGGCTTGTCTCTGTAATGCAGGGGTGTCTGCTAATGGGCCAGGCGAGATACCAAATAAAGACGAAGCAAAAACGGAAGGGTTGCACGTAAATGGACCTGCCAGCGGCAAGAAAACACCTCACGCGGATCTGGATACCAATGGGTATGAAACTGAAAACCTTTCCATTGACCCCAAACTTGCTCACGCAGCTTCAAGAAATGAGAATGATTTTGAAGAGAAAAATGAGAGACCTCTGAAACGCAGACGAATTAACAGCAATGGAAAGGAGAGTCCGGGCTCTTCAGAGTTCTTCCAGGAAGCAAACTCACATGGGAAGCTTGAAGAACTGGAAACATTGGATGACTGAGTGCTAGGAGCTGATTTTATTCTTTGGAGTAAATTTTGGGTGTCTAAAATTTTCAGGGTTGATGGGTTACCTTACAAAATCCAGTTCCATAAAACAATCTGCTGAGAGATTTTTTTTTTTTTTCTAATGCCTTCTGGTTGAGTCTTCAGATCTGATCATGGTTTTTTTCAGTGCTGAAAAGCAACAGGAGAATATTCCTTTTCTCAGAGCTGGCAACAGTTCAGGGAACTCTTAAGGCTCTTAAAAAATATTTTGAGATACGAATCAGTGAGTTTCTGCAAAAATACTCCCAGCCTAATATATTAAAAAAAACCACTTGTGTGTAATACACCATTGAAGCATTGTACAGGTGAACAAATCCTATTTTAACATTGTATTTTTTAGCAGGGGGCTGGTTCAAATGTCGCAGGAAGTTACAATGAACCACAAAGCAGGCAAGGGGGAAGTGTTGTCCCATTGCTAAGGAACCCTTATGAATCCTGAAAGTTATGAGCACAACTATTTTTATATATAGAAGTTTTAAAAGGTAACTAAATAAACCAGGTCAGGTTTGTATATGTAAAATTGTTGACATCAGTGATGTCTTTCCATATTCTTTATCTGGGCTAAAGAAATACATTCTGTATTTTTCCAGATTTCTTTGTAGCCTTTGAAAGATTTTTACAGTACTTATGTCTCGACTGAACTGTCCTTTCTTAAAACAAAAGCTTGTATAATTTTCTTAACTTGTACAGTTGGTAAACTTTTATGAGAGAATTGATATCCTGAGTCTAATGTCAGCTTCCTTTTATTTTGCTGAAGTCTTTTCTAAAAAAAAAAAGAAAACAAAAAACCAAACAAACCCCAAACCAAACCAATTGACTTAAAAATTATGCTTATTAGTCACCAACAGGTTATGTTCTTTTCAGAGAACAGTACACATCATCAAGAATGGTTAGAAGTAATTTGACTTTTTTTTAAAACACTTTTCTTCTGTTTTATGGCAAATAGCAATGCTAAAAATCTGTTAAGCATGATGCTTGCCTTGCACAAATTCTCTTGCTTTCATTATGCATTTTTCTTATTTTATTTCAAGCTCAGATAAATTTCATGTGGGCCAGATGCTTACATTTCCTAAACCTTGTTGGCCAGGATCAGGTGTTGGATGATCCATCAGTTTATTTTCAGTCTCTCCATCATCTCCTGCATTTCCCTGAGCTGTGCAGGTGTAAATTGGAAGAGCAGCCGGCGACCTGGGGCTGAGCCTGAATTTCAGAGAACTGGCAAGCCCTTACAGGGACAGGTACTTCAGGAGCAGAACCACCACCTACACACATATATACACATGCAGTATATAGAGATTCACATGTGGAAGAAGCCAGAGTAGGTATGGATACCTATTTTTTGACATTAAAATGCAAGAAACAAAACTTGTGTATAAATGAACCTGAGGGGGTGATGCTTGCCATCCCATTGGCATAATTTGACAGTTGTTGAAGTAGAGGTTATATCTATGGAATAGAAGGATTTTCAATACCACTGTTTGGGTTTTAATTTTTGTTTAAGCCACAGCTACATGTCTACTATATTGAAAACCTGTTAATTTGTATAATTTATACACGTATGGTGTTAATTTGTAATCAATTATTTTTTTACTTCAAGTTTCTGCGTCTTCCTGATTGCAGTTTGCAATGTGCAGCCCTCTGGTGTGACACTGCTGTACCCACCTCACAACCCAATGTTTTGGGTTGTGTTTGTTTGCTCTGTTTTCTTCAACCACATGTGCTTGGACTTGAGGAGCCCAACCTTGGGGATGCAGCAGCTCTAGCACCGTAATGAGGGACCACAGCATCTGACCCTGCTCTGCCCTGAAATGTGGTGACCAGTGTGTCCCAGCTGCTCCAGCCCACATCTGCCTGGAATTGCACAGCACCTCCCTAAGGTTTGCTAAGGTCTGGCCTGCATTAATCCATTTATTAATGATTGCAGTTAATTTTACCAGCTGGTTAATTAACAGAAACCCAAAGTATCCCAGCCTCCATCACTCAAAACTGGGCTTGATACAGTTCTAGCCTGCAATGCTCCAGCAAAAAGTCTTTGCCACCAGAGTCCTATTTTCAGTTTTATTTTTATGCAGCTCTGTTTGCAAGGTGGAAAAACTTCCAAAAATTTATAAGAAAGTTTATAAAAGTAAATTGTCTCAGGCTTGTGTGTGAAATACAACACTGTGTATATTTTCAGGAATGTTGCTTTGTTTTTTAACTTTACCTTTTTTTGGTGATAGGTAGATGAGACCTGACATTCCATAACCCACACCTATGTACTGCTCAGCTAGACTTTAAGAATATTTAATTATAATTTACATTTTGTTCATGCTGGTGTTTGTTTTCTACAATACTTTGTTCGTGTTCTTAGACATGCAGCCACTATAACTTGATAATGTCATCATTGCACTACTAAAGCTATTTAAAACCCCTGAGTAACCTGGATTTCATTTACAAAGCTGTTGGTACTGGTTGGAGCCCAGGAGGATTGGATTTGTTTCCAAACTGCATCAAAAAGATCCCAAATTCCTGTGACGCTTGTGTATGGCTTTTAACCACTATCATGACAAGTTGAAGCTGGAGCAGAGGTCCTGGATGCATCAAATGCTTTAAGAGTGCAGCCAAAATGGAAAATCCAGTTCAGCAGCATAAATCCTTGCTGAAGGATTAAATCTGATACTTAAAAAACAACCAACCACACACACAACTTAAAAACTAGTTGAATACATTATTTTTTCATGTAGTAATTTTGCACTGTTAGTAATTCCCTTTTCTTATCTGCAATCCTGGAAAGGCTTATTAAAATATTTTTATAAGCATCCTGTCTGCATTTTAAAAATTCCTGCGTTTTTTTGCTCAAAACAGCAGGTAAAATACTATTCCTGCTTCCAGAGGCTGCCAGCACCCGCTGCAGCAGCATGGTAGTAACACTCTTACTGCTGCCATGAAACAGAATACCATTTCTTTCATTTCCCCTAAAATTGGGTTGATCTCACTCTCTTTTTCCATTTTTATCATCTCCAGAGGAGGAAGCAAGGGAAGGCACAAGCCGAGGGAAGGGCATTGCTTTATTTGAAGCCAGTACAAAAATACATAGGCACATAAAATCCTTTTTTTCTTTTGCTGTCATTACTGACCGACATATAAAGCCCACCATACATTCAAATAAAAAGGTCACCTTTTTAATTGCTAAAATGGTCATTTCTGTAAATAGATTTGATAATAGAAAAAATTTTAGTCAATTAATAGCATAGAAAATACTGCTGTATGAACTCTGTTGGCTTGCCCAGTGTATGCCACACAGAGGTGTGCACTCTTACAAACAAAATAATAAGCTTTAAAAATCTTTTCCCCTTTGCACAATAAATCTAACCAGTAGATTCAAAAAAATAATCATTAAAAATCAAACCGTGTGACAGAACATCCTCAACATCCTCACTGCAAATGCCTCAGCACAGCGACATGACAAAAAAGGGGGATTTGCAGATGTTTCTGTTGGAGCAGGCGAGCTGTTGCAGCGCTGTCGCCGAAATTCTCCATCACGTATAAAAACATCAATGTTAAATGTAGCTTTGCCAAACAGCAAGTACATTTTTTAGCAAATACCTTCCAGAAACAAATTATGGCTATGGAAGCTATTTTCTTGGTTACCAAAGGGAAGTGTATAAAACATTCATACAGTTTTACCAAAGTTTCTGTTAACCAAAGTTATAAACAATTCTTTTTAAACCAAAAGACAATCCAAGGAGACACCTAGAACAAAGTGCTGTGTAAGACAACCTTTAAAAAACAAATCAGTTAACACTGCCTGGCATATTAAAAACCCCATTCTTTTAACAGGCCACAAACCAAAGATGACTTCATACATCAAAAAAATGACCTTTGGGCCAGGGCTTGGCCAAAGTTACCACCTCCTCCCCCATTTCCTATTACCTTGCCAAAACCAGCACCAGCTCAATCTCCTTTTCCAGGCCAAGTGGGACAACAGCTCTGAAACTACAGAGGGGAAACACAGCTTTAGAAGTGGGTTAATAGGAAAAAAAAAATTAAAGTGTAAGTTCAGAGAGCGCTGAGCATTCAGCAAAGGGGTTTTGGCCCAGACTGGGAGCATCCTGGGGGTGATCCCTGCCCCATGAGGCCGGATCAGTGCTGGGTACCACGGCCTGAGCATCCCTGGGAGGAGCCACACTGAGATGCAGCCGATGCTGCTCCAGGTACAGCTCAGCTCTGCCACGATCCTCTGTGCTCCAAACACACACACCACTTGTCCCAAATCCCTGCATGATCAGAAACCCGTTAATTCCTCCCGATCAGACTTAATTTGAAATATTCATCACTGCAGCCAGTCATCTTCCCAGTACTTTCTAAAGGCAGCAAATCTCGATTGTGCAAATTAAGAGCAGCATCACCGTCACTCCATGGCAGGCACCCCCAATTCCTTCCCACGCTCTGCCCGTGATCAGCTGAACAGAAATCAGTTGCTTTTGAAGAAAAAAAGCCTCTGCTTGGTCACACAGAGCTTTTTCCTTTAATATCCATCTTGATGCCCGCTTCTGACTGCTTGCTCATTTGCTCCTCTGTGAAGGTGATGTAGGAATACACCAGGCTTCCAGCAATACTGCAAAACAGGGATGTGGAATAAACCAAAACATACTCCTTTTGCTACCTTAATTACATGATTCAGATACACAACTCTAAAAACAACATAAATTTGCTGCTAAAATATACTTGTGCATGCTCCCAGCTTTAAAGCAACCCCAAACTGGAAGCTCCCCACAGCCCTAGCGAGGAAAGAAGCACTGGGTTGGTCAAACCTGCTCAGTTTCACAGCAATTTTTAATTCGTAAATCATAACTGCAAAGGTGCTTACCTGATATTTAGACCAATGAAGTTCGTCCATGTAAAAATATAGTCTCCTCCAAAAAACATCCCAATATAGGTTATTAAAATATTCTGCAAAGGAATGAGATTTGAAGAACAAGAGCATGAATTTCTATTTATGCATATACATGTATGCTCTATGCATTAAAGCAACATGGAAACATGAAAGCCTTGATGCAGACAGCATGAAATAAGCAACTGGTGGCAATACTGGATTTAAAATGGGCAGTTTTAGAGCTGCTGAGAAATGGGGCTTTGGCTGCTGGGCTGCAACGCTCTCCCCAATCTCGAGACTGGTGTTAACACCAGAATAACGTTGATTTTTGCAATGGGAGTCGCTGGGATGAGATGGCCCAGAGCATCACCACTGCTTCTGGGTGTTTTCCACCTCATTAACCTGGGGATGCCAAATGCAGGGACCTACATCAGTGCCACCGCACTTGCCCAGAATGTCTCTGCTCCAGACCCTGCCCTGCAATGAACACATTACTTGGGTGCAGTTTTGGCCCCCTCACAAGAACATTGAGGGGCTGGAACATGGCCAGAGAAGGGCAATGGAGCTGGGGAGGCATCTGGAGCACCCAAATGATGGGGAGCAGCTGAGGGAGCTGGGGGGACTCAGCCTGGAGAAGAGGAGGTGAGGGGAGACCTTGTCCCCTCTACAGCTCCTGAAAGGAGGGGGTAGCAAGGAGGGCTCGGTCTCTTCTCCCCAGGAACAAATGATGGGACGAGAGGAAATGGCCTCAAGTTGTGCCAAAGCAGGGTTAGATTCGATATGGGGGAAATTTCTTCCCTGAAAGAGTGGTCAGGCACTGGAAGGGGCTGCCCAGGGCAGTGGTGGAGTACCCATTCCTGGCAGGGTTCACAAACCGTGTGGATGTGGCACCTGGGGACATGGTTTGGTGGCCATAGGGGGCGGGGTTGTTGGACTGGATGATTTTGGAGGTCTTTTCCAACCTTAACGAGTCTGCAAATCTACAGAAAAACGACTCACCTTAATGCAGCCAACTATTGTAGTTGTAAGAGCAGAGTTATACTGAGTGCAAAGGACCGTGGAGTACATCAGGATAAACCTGTGGGAGGAAGGGCCCACATCAGCTTTGGGAAAAACACTCTGGGCATCACCACACAGCTCAGCATCCCCTCTCTGCTTCTCCAGAGCGGGATTTGTACCAACGCTTTTTTGGTATGATTGGTATAATTTTCCCTCATTAGGACTAGAGATTTATTGGTATTTTTGAACCCAGAAGGGCTCCAGCCACCAAAATGCTCTATTTCTGCAACAGCGATGCCTCCCCTGCACCAAACACTGGTTTCATGGATGCCCTCAGAGACAGGGAGCACCCCCCACAGCACTACCCTTACATCGTACTTACACCTTACTTACTACACTCAGATCCTACTTACAGTCCTTACCCCATTACACACGACAGCGTGAACTGCAGGACGAAGAGCGTGTCTGCCCAGCCCTGGTACTCCATCGCCTGCAAGGAAACACAGCCTGGTGTCAAGAGGAGGAAGAAACACAGTGATTCACAGCAAGGCAAGGTGCAAACCCCCCTGGCACCGGCTTTCACCTCACAGCAGGAAAAAACACCCAAAACAAAGCAAAATGCAGCAAAAAAACCCAAAACAAAGTAAAACACAGCCCAGCACGACATCCTGGGGCTGGATGTCCCCATCAGCACAGCACCCCTGGAAAAAAGCAGTGAGAAACAGTCCTACAAGTGGGAGGAACCAGCAAAGGCATTTCCTGGCCCGTTGTTGTCCAAAAGTTCACATTTAGATTTAGTAAGTGCTGGGGAGAAGCCAAGGAAAGCCCTCGCTGAGCATCATAATCAGCAGAGCAAACGGCAATGCTTTGGCAGCACAACCCAGGGGAGTCAAAGGTTTTAACCACTTTATCAGCACCATAAGAGTTAAGGGAAGCCTGGATTTCATGGTAGGGCCTTTTTTTGTTGGGATTTTGGGGTTTTCGTTTGTTTCAAAGCCACACTTGGTGCAGCTGAACCCAGGTTTTTGCCAGTTGCAGGCAAGCGTGCAGACGTGGCACTTGGGGACATGGTTTGGTGGCCATGGTGGGGTTGGGTTGATGCTGGAGTTGATCTTGGAGGTCTTTTCCATCCTCAATGATGCTGTGAGGAGGTGAGGGCAGAGCAGCCCCCCTCAGCCCCTCACAAGAGGGTTTTTCATTGGACTGCAAACGCCGTATTTCCTGGCAGCAGCCCCAGCACAGCACATCTTTGTCTGCCCTGGCTGCTGGCAGGGAAAAAAGAAGTTTATTCAGGGGGAGGAAAAAAAAAAAAAAAGGTAATTTCTCCACAGGCTAAACAGAGGCTGCACAGTGCAGCACAGAGCAACATTTGGCTCCCCAGCTGCCAGCTCCTGCTTATAAACGAGTGCTTTATCTCCAAAAATCTCCCGCTGAGTCGCCCTCTGCAAAGGGCAGGGTCTGAGCTACCTTCACCTCCCTGCGGTCGCTTCTCCTCACTAATCACAGCTCATTACCTCGGCCACTGCTCATTAAGATCCTAAGGGGGGAAAAAGCACAGGGCTGGGGGGCAAACAGGGTCTGTACCCCCACAGGGGGCTGGGGGGCACTTTGAGCCCTCATCCTTTGCCTTCCCTGCCCACGGAGGGGGATGCCTGCTCATGCAGGCATGGAAAGTGAGGGCTCTTGCTCAGAAAAGCCAGTTGAGCATGGAGCTGCACACAAATGAGTGTAATAATAATCAATAAATAAAATAATACAATATAAATTTGAAGTACACAGAACCACAAAAATTAGACCCTGCCCAGATGGGGCAGAACAGGCAAACTGACCTCCAGAGCAACTCACCACAACCAGTGCCCCGGCAAGAGAGAAGGACAGAAAGAAACCCATTTATCCTAAAAATACTCCACTTCTTTCTTTTAAATAATATTTGCTTTCACTTATTGCTCTTGCACTTCCCCATTCCTCAAGCATTGCAAAAAAAAAAAAAAAAACCCCGCCTGAATGGAGCAACTCCACGGGTGTCAAATCCGACATAAGGCTGATAGTTACACTCTGCTGATGCCGTTTTGGGGTATTTATTCTGCCGCCCTTTACCCTAACCTCCTTCCTCAGGCCCTGAACAGTCCATATTTGCAAATTTGGGGATAATAAACTACTTTACAGTTTCATTTTTGAATATTTTAGGTAAGAAGGTTAAGTTACAGTAAAGTGCATTGTAACAGTAAAACATTCCACGCAACCCAATCTGCTTTTCGGGGGGACAGGACCCTACCTTCTGCGCATCCCCGGTGAAGTAGGCGATGGTCAGGGTGGGAAGGATCATGAAGAGCGCGTTGTAATAGAGCAGACCGTACTTCCCCAGCTCCTGGAAACAAGGAACATCAGTGTGTTTTGGCTGTTTCCAAAGAAACATAAAAACTTATTCATATTGCTACTGAAAACTGGGCCTTTGTGAGCCAAATTGAAGAACTGAAGAGGTGGGGTTTTCTTTAAAAATGTATATAAAAATGCATATATTCATGATTTTATATATCTTAAACATATATATACTAATTTATCTGTGTGTGTATACACACACACACACACACACACACACACACAAAACCCAGACCCATGGAGTGAGCTTGCAATGAATTTTATGGTGACCAACAATCCAAATGTCATTTTTCTGCTGTCCCAACGGACACCCGAGGGTTTGGCGATGCTCTCGGTGCCAACGCTGGCACCGAGAGCATCGCCAAACCGGCCAGAGAGAGAATTTTGGGAGAGCCTCCTCCCTTTGCAATGCAAGCGTGAGAAGCCAAGGCGCTGCCTACCTTTGAATCCAGCTTCTGTTTCACGTAGGCACCGTTTGCAGCTGTTAAGGCGTCGTTAATAAGGATAAAAATATATCCTTCTAGGTCAAATGCCAAGTCAGCACTGGGAAAGTGGGGGGGGAAATACAGAAGTTAAAGTTCTAAACTTGAAATACTCCTTCCACCCTCTGTTTGGCCAGAAAATATTAATCACAGGAGGAGGGACTGGAATTTGGGTCAGTAAAACATATTTTCCTATTAGAGGGGGTGGAAATTCAGCATTTATTATCTATTTTTGGGGATATAGCGTGGTATTTTGTTCACTTTAGCTTTGGGGAGTCCCTGTGTGAGACAGAGAGGGGACACCAAAGCAGGAGCTCACCTGGCAGCCACAAATGCGCCTATGATCATGGCAAATACTGTCATCTGAATGCTCCAAGAAAACTTCTTCCTGGAAAAGGGGGCAGGAGGACAACCCGTCACCCACGGCATCGTTTTGGGGACAGCAAGGAGACACACTCATGGAGCGAGGAAGGAGAAAACCCCGAGCAAACCCACCCGTGCCAAAGCAGTGAGTAAAAGCAAGGCATTTTTAGACAATTATCTCAGTGATTTTAAATTAAAAAATAACTTGGCATCAGTGAGGTGCACGTTTTTGGAGTGTTACAGGTTTTGCTGGGCACGGGTCAGTGAGGGAGCACCTTCACCTCCCAAACTGTGCCTGCAGCACAGTTTGGCACAGTCTGGCCCAGCTCCCCGGGAAAACAGCCCTGCAGATCCAGGCAAGTCGCTGGAATTGGGAAGGCACCACTGCTCCCCGCATCCGCTTCCTCCGCCCACCCTCGCTCCCAAAACCCAGCTCCGAGCCAAAAACAAACCCTGACCACGCAGCACCCCAGGGCACAGATGTTCTACTGCCATCAGGCTTTCCCAGTTCTCCCCACTGGTAGCACTGAAGGGCAGGGGCTGGGGACACTCACTTGAGCAGGAATCCTTCGGCAAACATCGTAAACAGGATGGAAAACCTCCGCAGGACGGTGAACATGGGCAGGCTGTGACAGAAAGGGTTAAAGTGAGGTGAAAGAGGTGTCCCCCCCCACAACCCCTCCCAAAACACGGCCACCCAGGGAGCAGAGCCAGGCTCGGTTTCCATAGGAAAACTCCATTATTCTCATACCCAAAAAGGTATAGCTTACATGGACCCTGTCAGGGTGGGGGGGCCCTCCCCACCCAGAGGGATGCACCTGGAAACCACACGAGGGTTATTTTATAATGGATGTACATTTTTGCATGACCAACACTGGATCTCCCATCCCAAGGACCCCAGTGTGCACCCCCTCACAGAGAAAAGCCGCCCATACTTCAGTTTCTTTGTGCTGAACAGTCCTGTGATCTGGTTCCCGAAATACAGGAGAGGTAGAGGAAACGTCTGGAAAACAAGAAAGATGGATACCACCCCACGTGAGTGACTGGAGAGAACTGGGGAGCTCCCCTTTTTTAATAAGTATGTATCAAATTATTAGAAGTATTACATGGAAATGTCCCACACGTGTCCCAGCACCTCAGTCCCAAGCTGCTCCCACAGGCATCCCGCTGCCAAAAAGGCTGTGATGGCCTCCATGGGCGAGGGGCTGGGGCAAAGCCCACCCAGGGGTGGACCAGGTGCCCAGGGAGGGGGACAGGATGCCCAGGGGGTGCCCAGAGAGGGGTCAGGGTCCCCAGGGAGGGGTCTTACCCGCCGTGGGACATGGCGGTCAAGGTCAGGGAACTTGACCACCCGCAGCGCCTTGCCCGCCCAGAGCACAGCCACCGTTGCCAGCATCTGTAAAAGAGCAGGGGTCAGCCCAATGGGCACCCTCCCCAAAATGGGGTGGGTCAGGGGGAACAGGCAAGGGGATCTCACTCACCTGGCCCAGCCCCACGCACAGCGAGGAGGGGAACCTGCGGGCAGAGAGCAGACATCAGAGGGGGTATCCATGCTGGGAGTGAGGGGACAGCAGTCATGCAC